CTTCTTCTTCTTCTTCTTCTTCTTCTTCTTCTTCTTCTTCTTCTTCTGCTTCCTTTTCCTTTTCCTCTTCTTCTTTAAAACTATAAAGGTCATCCTATTCTCTCCTCCCTACCTCAAGCATTATCCTCTCTCTCCTTAATCTCTTCATGGCAACTACTTCTTCTTGTTGGTAGGTATTAAGGATGTTAATTAATCCACCCCCTCCATAGCTAGAAGAAATAGAGGTTAAGTGTAGGGTTGGGAATTGATTGCCACATGAAGCTTGGGTGAGAGTATCTGGAGCTTAGCTGAGAATATCTGGGGCGTTTGTTGTGCAGCTCAGATGCCATAGCTCTAACAGAGTCAGAGTCCAGATGTGCTGAGAAGACATGTCTTTTTTTTTTTTTTTTGTTGTTGTTGAGGCAATTGGGGTTACGTGACTTGTCCAGAGTCTCACAGCTAGTAAGTGTCTTAGGCTGAATTTGAATTCAGTTTCTCCTGACTCTGGGGCTGGTGCTCTATCCACTGTACCACCTAAATTCGAGGGTATGTCTTTGGAACACCTTCCTCTTGATCACCAACAACATCAGCATGGTGATCTCGTGGTGATTTCAAATAACCACCAATTAGTAGCTCTTAATTCCAGTGCCTTGCCTCTGTTGATCATCTCCAATTTATCCTGCTTGCATCTTATTTGCATATAATTATTTATATGTTATTTCCCTTATTAGAAAGAACATATTCCCTTATTAGCAAGAAAGCTTCTTAAGAGCAGGGACTATCTTTTGCCTTTCTTTGTATCCCTAGCACTTAGCACAGTGCCTGGCACATAATAGGCACTTAATAAATGTTTACTGAGGGATTGATTGTAGCCAGTTGAGGGCTGGACTTAACACAGCCTCTTCTTATTATTATCCATGTGACTTTGGACAAGCCATTTGAGTTCCCTTGGTCTCAGTCTATTTATAGGTAAATGTGTGGATTGAAGTCGCTGGCCTCTGAGGTCTCTTCAAACTCTAAATCTATGATCTGTGAATATAAAGTAGCACATGGAAAATGCTAAACGAGTGGTATAAATAGTAAGTGCTTACTGGAGTTGAGAAGAGGTCACCAGGGACCTGAGTAGCTGGAGGAAACTTCATTGAGCAGGTGATATTCCAAAGGGCCTTGAGGGATCACTAGGGATTAGATTAGCGGGCTGTTTGAAGCAAAAATATTTCAGGCAGGGAAACAGTGATGATAAATTAGGGAAAGAAAGACATTTCAGATATTTTTTTCAGTAGGTTGTCCAGTTTGGCCAGAGCAACCCACCAGTAAGGCAACACATACATTTATTACTATCTATTATCAAATACCTACTACGTGCCTACACTATGCTAGATCCTGGAGGTTTAAATGCGAAGAATGAAACAATAGCAGTTGAGGTCAAGAAAAGCTTCATGCAGAAGATGGTGCGTAAGCAGCAATTTTTTTTTTTTTAGGCAATTGGAGTTAAGTGACTTGCCCAGGGTCACACAGCTAGTAAGTGTCAAGTGTTTGGTCTGAGGCCAGATTTGAACTCAGGTCCTCCTGAGGTCAGGGTTGGTGCTCTATCTATTGCACCCCCCTAGCTGCCCCTGTAAAGCAGCATTTTTAAAGGAAGAGAGGGACTTGGTAAGGCAGAGGTAAGGAGAGAGGGTAAAGGCCCAGAGATGGGAGAGATGAACGGAACAGAGAGAAAACCACTTTGGCTAGATGGCAAAGTGTGGGAGAGGGGGTCATGTCCATTGATATAGCACAAATTGCACAGTGGTATTTTAGGCAGATTAGTCTGACGATGTTCAAGATGAATTAGAAGAGGAAGAGACTAGAAGATGGAGAAAATTAGGAAATTACTGTGCTAGTCCAGGCATGATATGATGAGAACTTGGATGTATATGTGTATATATATATCTATATATATCTATATATGTACATATATTATATGTATATATATGTACATATATAGTATATATATGTACATATATAATATATATGTGTGTGTGTGTGTGTGTGTGTGTGTGTAGTATTTACCTGTGTACATAATCTCCAAAGAATTTAAGGTGCAACTAACATTTCTTTAACACTTCACAAACCCAAAAGCACAATGTAAATGTTAGCTGTTTTTATTGGGGGAAGCACTTATTGTATACTAGGCACTGTGAAAAGCGTATTGAAAATATTATCCCATTTGATCTTCTTCATAGTCCTGTGATAT